TAGAGGGGGAGGCGCTTGGGTATAGTCTTATATAAGACTCCCATATGGTTCTATGCTTCGTGAAGAAGTCAATTCGTTTAATGTACCATTTCAAACTACTGTATTTAGTTATCTGTACTTATTACAAATTGATAAGTATGGTTCTACCATTGTCCGGGACAGGAAGCCAGTTAATCTAATCGAGGTCCTCCTAGGCCAGCTACTGACTTTCATCAGAATTAAAACCATAACAGCTGCCCAACGCCCATGTACCTATTTACTGCCAAGTGAACAGAGGCATCGGGGTTTAAGAAAATATGCCAAACCATCAAGTCCTTCCCAGGAATCGAACCGAGTTACAGTCGGAAACGAACCAACTGCGCTAATGTCATCATATGTAAAGGGAAGTTTGGTCCAAGTGTCCGATATGTCAAACAGAAACACCGAGGTCGTCAGTCAAATATATAGCGCAGGGAAACGAACGCGGGCAACGAGCAGTTGTCAAGACGTGGTGCAGCTGTTTAGACCCGCATCAAGAAGCACTTGGAACCTCTGTGCTCAGACGAGACGCCAAAAACAGTTTAGATACGAACTGGATAATTTAGGGTCGATTAGCAACATTAATAAAAAAAAAGCGGTTTTCGGTTTGTCAAAATTCAATAATATAAGTTATTTTCTACCGATTCATCACGTCCATATCTGAACGATCGTCCATATAGTTACTACAAGTACTTTAATTTTAAGAGAAGGATTTAAGAAGAGGATTTAAGAAGATGATTTAAGAAGAGGATTTAAGAAGATTTATTTAATTTTATTAAAATCATAAATAAGGATTTATTTATTGCCTTCGTTTCCTTAGTCATGACAATCGACTTGAGAATGGTCCAAGACGGACCGAAACGTCGTCGTCCCTTCACTTTCTAGTGTGTGGTCTGGTCAACATTTATTTAACATTCATGGGAGAAATCATGAGGCAAGCATGGGTCAAGGGAAGAATGTTTACTGTAAAATGTAAATACACTATAGGCCTAATAAGAGCAATTTAAGTATGCAGATTATTTTTATGTTTGTTGAAGACGAGTGAAGGCTAGTTAGAGAGACATGGTTAGTTGAAAACTTTATGGAGAAGCGTTACGGCCCGAACAGACCAATTACCGCTAGACGTGAACTATCCTGTGAGTAGTTTGAGCTCTGCCCAGGAACCTCGTCTGTGTCAGCCCGACATATTTGCCTCGAGAATGTGGACAAAGTACCCGTGTAGACGGCACAACTTTTACGTAAAAGAAACTTGTATCGATAACATTAAACCTTAATTCATTATACAAGCGCCATGTACCATTATAGTGTAATTAGTAGTAACTGGTGGCTCTCGATATTATCTAAAATACTACGAAAACAAAATACTTAAAAGGCTTAACTGGTAATGCACGTAGAAGGATGACCAAGAAGTACTTCCATTGTCAAGACCACTGGCCGCCGTGGGGGGCGTGGGAGGGGGGCGCTGACCCACGACCTCTCGTCTCCATGGTGGGGGGGAGCTAGGGGGGGCTGAGGCTGATCCACGACCTCTCGTCTCCATGGTGGGGGGGGGGGGGCTAGGGGGGCTGACCCACGACCTCTCGTCTCCATGGTGGGGGGGAGCTAGGGGGGGCTGATCCACGACCTCTCGTCTCCATGGTGGGGGAGAGCTAGGGGGGGCTGACCCACGACCTCTCGTCGCCGTGTGGAGGACTCGACTGTACTAAGCTTGGTTTTGGCAGATCGAAAGAAAACGTGAATGAAGCGGTTACTAACAATTGTTACCCCCCGCCTGCTTTAATTACTCAACTTTTCGGCCTCTGATGATATATGAGGGATCTTTACATAGGGTCGTATGTATTTATACAATAGTCTTAGCATATACTAATCATACAACACATAAATAAACTCAAGGCAGGGCCCTGAGAGAAGATTATTGACAATTAAAATGAACAAAGATAATTATGGTGTTGGAAATCAGATAAAATTCTGTGTTATAAATAATTCAGAGTTATGAAGTTGGTTATATTGGTTATCAGTTTGCTGGTTGAAACCAACCAACAAACTAATAAAAGTGGAATATCTTCAGCAGTAGTTCAGAGCAGAGTCAGTTAGAGAAGGAAAGTACAACGAAGACTTTGGTCAGTATAACATGCTTGCAATGAATGCAATCAGAGATTTGCATGAAGGCGGAGTCCGCAGAACTTCCATACTGCTGCCTCGCCTCCAAAAGATGCATTCTCAAATGTTAACTTTCTGTGTATTCAATACAAACTCATTCTCATATATATATAAAGTAACATATTTGAATGATTTACATATTTGAATTTTGTGTATAGTTACGCCTGGGTTAGGTTTGCTTTTAATGTTTTGTTAGTAATTACTTATACTTACAGCTTTATACACATTAGATTCACACCGTAAATTTTATGCAAATTCATTTTTTTGCTGTTGTAAAATGCTGTAAAAACATTTGCCATATACGTATCAATCTATCCTCTACAAGTCATAAATAATGGATACAAAATAAGTGTTACATTGAATGGTTATGCCAAAATGTCATTAATCTGTGTTACATTACGGAGTCTCGATGTTATTTATTGGTCTTGGGCACCTCATTAGCCAAACTTCATAACCTGGATTTATATTCCTCTATGTTACCAGCGCTCGGGACTGGCGGCGGCCCTTCTGGAGACTTATTTTTGTCTACACTGTGTGTGTGTGTGTGTGTGTGTGTGTGTGTGTGTGTGTGTGTGTGTGTGTGTGTGTGTGTGTGTGTGTGTGTGTGTGTGTGTGTGTGTGCTCACCTAGTTGTGCATCCGAGGGTTGAGCTCTGCTTTTTCGGCCCGCCTCTCAATTGTCAGTCAACTGTAACTATTAACTATCTTTTTCACACACACACACACACACACCCAGGAAGCAGCCTGTAACAACTGTCTAACTCCCTGGTACCTATTTACTGCTAGGTAACAGGTGCATCAGGGTGAAGAAAACTATACCCATTTGTTTTTTTCCGGCGGTGCCCGGGGGATCGAACCCCGGTCCATGGGTTCACGAGACTAGAGCGCTGTCCAATCAGCCACAAGCACACACTGTGTGTGTGTGTGTGTGTGTGTGTTCAAGAGTTGTTTACACCGAGGCCTTGTCAACAGGACTGGGGGAGCCAAGCCCATTTCAGACTGTGAATGGTTCTCAAATCCAACGGACCAATTTGATGACAGATATAGAACTCGAAACTTTCAGTCATTTCATCCTTTGTGCAACGCATTCGAGCTGATAAGGTCTGGACTACTGCAGCTCCTTTGGGATAGAATTCTTTATCTTGAACGTGCTCTGCATATAATTTCTCGTTCTGAATATAATTCCATTTGATTTCCGAAACAGTTTTCGTGTCGGATCCAGACTGAGCAATCGAAACTTCTCGATGCAACGTCGAATAGAACTGGAAGGTTGTGACTCTACTGTTCTTTGCCGTGGATGGAAAATCTATGATAAGTTCAAGCAGTGAGCTTGAACTTGCTGGAGAAGCTTTTCGAGTGGTGGATTCTGCTTGATTCCAGTGTAATGGGATCGAACCCGCGTTCCCAAGCTCCTCATCTCGGAAGTCGTGTTTGTGTCTCACGAGTCCCAGTTTGCAAGTTCGAGTTCAATTCATGGCCCTCAATATCAACTCACTGACTTCAGTATTATTTGAATGCAATGATAAATATATTAAACTATGTAACTATGTACCATGAAACTATGCATACCAATAATTATATATATATATATATATATATATATATATATATATATATATATATATATATATATATATATATATATTATATATATCGTTATATTTACATTTAATCTTAACCCTACAAAATCTGGACCCTTAAACACACAACACTTTCCGGCCAATAATTGAACTCTTGTCAAATCCTTTCCAGCTGGAGGCTTCATGAAATATATTGTTGCTAAACTGGGAATTTTCCAGCGCAAGAGACGACGAGGGGACGCATTTTGACGGGCGGGGAGGATGGGTATTTTGACGGGTGGAGAGGGTGGAAGGTTTGACGGATAGAGGGATGGAAGTGCGTACAGGTGGGGGAAGGGATTGGCGTCACAATGAGAGGGGTGTAAGTGACAAACTCAATGAGTTGGCAGGAAAAAAATGATAATATTTTCATAGCTTTCTTATTTACCAGGTCGACGAGGACCCAGACATTTACATTTTTGTTTTTTATAATTTTCCTTCTTAGCTTAAAAACTTATATGCACATTGTAAATTGATGTTGCAAGCTGCGTTGCATTGTCCTGTGTTTTCCCTGAGCGTTGCACGCATATATAACAAGTTATCAAAGAGGTTGCACTCAGTGTGTTTTAAATGATATGCAAATTATATTCAGGAACTTTTGTGATTTACAAAGAGACGAGTATTTTGATCAATAGACAGGTCTCTATGGTAGTTTGTTCAATAGACAATGGGTTATGATCTTAGGCAGGTTGTCCTGTAGACAGTGGGTGGGGTATTATGTTCAATGGTCTTATTTTCCTCATATTATTCTTTATTTATTCTCTCTCATTCTTCCTGTCTCCTCCGTCTCCCCTTCTATTTCTCATCTGCCCTCTTCATATCCCATCTCTGTCTCTTTCATATCACATTTCTCTTACCTTTTTATCTCCCGTTTTCTTCCCCCTCTTCTATCACTATCTTTTCCCTTTTTATCTTAACTATATCTCCCCCTTCCCCTCATCCCATTCCATTCTCTTCCATCACAAACGTTTTGGAAAATCTGTCAGACTAAAGCAGAAAATGTTTTGGTCTATTTTTGTTAAAATATAATGGAACGCCATTACTACAAATGAGATTTTCAGCTTCCTACGGCTTTTTGGAAAGAAAATGGTTGCATAAACACACAAACATTCGTACACATACACATATGCATAATACTGAGGGGGGGGGGGGAAATCAAAAGCAATATGGTTAGTGATTTATGAATTAATATTAATAAATACAACATAGCTATTGTATCTTATTTTAATATATCTGTCTGCCTGTCTCTGTCTGCCTGTCTCTGTCTGCCTGTCTCTCTCTCTCTCTCTCTCTCTCTCTCTCTCTCTCTCTCTCTCTCTCTCTCTCTCTCTCATGTAAATTATTTTTATTCAGCAGACACGACTGAATGTATCCCAATGCGTGCAAATTTATTATCTCTCTCCCGTCTGTATACAACGTCATGGTCATTCAGAAACATTCCACACAATGCATGATGCGGTGCCACCGCCGACAGTATCAGTATCACCACAACTACCACCACCTGCATCCCCCACTACCACCAAATGCATCACCACTACCACCACCTGCATCCCCACTACCACCACTACCACCACCTGCATCACCACTATCACCACCATCACTACCGTCAAAAACATTGTTAACAGGAGGAATACGCACTTCGGGAGTAGTTGAACGATCTGTAAATAAGAGAAGCGTCAGAAATGTCCCTATCTCCTGGAAAACAATATTCAGGAGCGTCAGAAAGCAGGAGAAAGCCAGGCAACACGGAACACCTTGGCATCAAGAATCTTCGCATGCACCCTTCCCCAAACGCACGATAAGTTGGCTCAAGGTACATTGGACAGCAGAAACAGTTACTAAGAACCATCTGCAACATCTGAAACAGTATCAGACGACAGAAGAATATCCATACGGCCAAGTTGCAGTAGCATCCGTTTCAATACACGCGACACAGAAAAGCAATAGCGGAACACTACTCACACCGTCAAGTAGCAGCAACACAAGACCCACTACCAATCGCGCTACGGAACGCCACCAATACCCCCGCCTTCCCACGCTCCCACCAGGAGCACTAGCGACGGTGTGAGCATCAGCAACAGCAACGAGAGTAAGTAGCACGAGGAATGGAGAAGACCTGCCGAAGGAGTCGCAGATGAACATTCCTTAGGCTTCACTCTGCTGCATTTCTCCTGGTGGACGTCGCTGTAGGAGAGGGTAGCCGTCACCTTCTTCAGGAACACTGCTTGAGTCTTGCCGCACTTCAGGTAGCTCATGTCGTAGACGCAGGACAGGAACCATAGCCGGATGCTGGTGGGATGGAAAGATAGAGCGAGAAGTGAATGAGAGAGAGAGAGAGAGAGAGAGAGAGAGAGAGAGAGAGAGAGAGAGAGAGAGAGAGAGAGAGAGAGAGAGAGAGAGAGAGAGAGAGAGAGAGAGAGAGAGAGAGAGAGAGAGAGAGAGCGAGAGAGAGAGAGAGAGAGAGAGAGAGAGAGAGCGAGAGAGAGAGAGCGAGAGAGCGAGAGCGAGAGCGAGAGAGAGAGAGAGAGAGAAATAGTTGTCATCCAATACTGCTTTACCAGAAGAAATATGGAAATCGAATATCAAACTGGCCTACAGGCTGCAAAATGCTTCTGAAACAAATGAAGTCTATTTTAACTAATTCTATCTTAATGATGTTTATAACTGTTGATTAGCTTTAGTTTTCATACCAAGACGAGTCTTAGAACTGTTTTGCTGCACAATGGGAGTGTTTGCCATCAATTCCATTGGGTTATGCAGCCTATACAAAAGAAACTATGACAACATGAAGCAGCTTTTGAGGTGCATTAACTATGAAAAAATCAGTGGCAGAATTGTTGCTCCTGAGATAGACCTGCAGGATGGATACAAAGTATTGCTGTTGGCTCTGAGTGTCGTGGGAAGAGATTCCCACTAAGTCATGAAAGACTGGCTACTCTGTCTATCATTGGAGCCTGGAAGAAAGACGTTCAGCATCCACCACTTGTTGAATCATGCAAGATTTTGTTACCCCTCTCACACGAAAAATAGCTAATCAGCCATTTTGATTCTTATATTTGAATTCAGCACTTCAAAATGTATCATAAACAGCTCTTTTCATCTCGGAAGCAGGCAAGTTATGAAAAACTGTTGGCCAGTGTTATTGTACACAAGATAAGCACCGCACATGTGTATGTCTGCAAACCTGTGCATGTAGACACATGCAAGTGTTCACAGAGACCGTGATTGCAAACGTGTATACATCACTGAGAACATGGCCAAGTAAATGACTGTACATGCTCTGATTCCATGCGTTAATCTGTAGGTGTGTGTGCACGCAGGAATGACCTCAAGGGGACCTACCAGCATATTTTGTGGTCTCTCAGGGCGTCGGAAACGTTAAGGTCACGATGCTGCTGATGGACCAGGGACTTGAAGCTCTGGTGACAGCGGTCCCAGTCCTCCTGCACGTCCTTTATGCATGACCCGTGCGACAGGTACTCTGAAATAGATTAAGGCAGGTCACTGAAGGTAAACAGTGGCCAATACAAATCATTACACTTGGCTTCCTACAGGATTTCTCATGGACGGTTCGAAACGACTGAACATACTGCCTGATGCATGGGGTTTGGGAGAGCTGCTCTGAAACAGGGCATTAGGGTCACGTTAGATAGCTCGAGATGAAAAAAGATGTTGCTACAGGTCAAACAAGCTCTTCCAATTAACGTTCTTGGTCGGGGGCAGACACGTTCTGCTTCGTGTCTGTCTCTTTCTACCTTCCTTCGATCTATTTCTATCTCTCTCTCTCTCTGTTCATTTGTCTCCACCAATTTCCTACTCGAGTCAAATTATGTCGACCTCCATTATTGCATCAGAGATCCTTGTGACGCGTGTTCAACCTTCCAGATTCCTGCAGCTTTCATCCAGAAACCCTGTTACTTAGCTCAGTTAAGGACGACCCATTACGACAATGAAAAGGGGAGACCATCTTCCATGATTTTCTAAAGACAAGACCACCTACCACGACCTCCTGAAGACAAGACTACATATTACAACCGTCTGAAGACAAAACCACCTACCACGACCTCCTACAAAATTACCCACTACGTCCTTCTGAAGATAAGACTACCTACCACGACCTTCTAAAGACAGACCAACCTACCACGACCCTGGTCAGTCCAGAATATCAACTACGAATATGGAAACCATACCCACCTATCTCATCCTTGTATCCTTGACACCACCGCAGACGAGGCTGTCCTGAATCCCTGAACGCCTTCAAGAGGGAAATCCTCCCGAGGTTACGAGACCCTCTCGCTTCTCTCTCTCCGCAAGACGGATTAGGCACTGGATTAAACAGGGTGATATATCTGTATTTTTTATGGGTGGCAGGTGGAGGTTTGGTGAATGGGAAGTGGAGTGGTGAGGGGCGGAGTGAAGGGGGTGTAGTGGTGAGGAATGGTTTGATATGGAAGGAGGGCTGAGAGAGACAGAGAGAGAGAGAGAGACAGAGAGAGAGAGAGAGAGAGAGAGAGAGAGAGAGAGAGAGAGAGAGAGAGAGAGAGAGAGAGAGAGAGAGAGAGAGAGAGAGAGAGAGAGAGAGAGAGAGAGAGACAGACAGACAGAGAGACACACAGAAAATACATAAAAGTACACAAGAATGTCCATGAGAATACATAAAATGTTGCATGGAAAGAGGGCATAAAAGAACGTAGTGTAACAAAAGACATAGAGACAATAACAAAATAGGAGCTAAAGCCAAGAGAAAAAAGAAGAGATATGGCTGTCGCTGGCACGGTGTGTGGCGGCTATAGAGAGACTGGGGTCGGAAGGTCTCTTGAAGCGTCTCAAGAATAAGACAAACACTCTTGTTTTGACACAGGAACTTATGGAACTTCCGGAGACTGTGAGGTCCCCCCTTCCCCAGCCTGTAGGAATCTTTATCTCACTTTATTCCCCCACACATAGCTCCTCTACAACTCTCTCTCCCTCATACCTCCTAAACTTCCACACTTCTCTCCATCTCCCTCCTTCATTCCCCTCACTTGGATTCTCCATAAGTTCCTCCATCAAGCGAGAGGTTCCACGTGTGACTATCAAACATACATTTTCTTTCCAGGAACGATACAGTTTCCACACTCGAGTTATTCGGAATATCCGGATAACTCAAGGGGAATATACTTACGCGTTTGTGAGATAGAGATTAGCGTTGTTGCAGATATTTGAGTAGGAACCTTTAGCTCCAGCTTGCACCTCCTAGGGGGTAACTAGTTTAACTAATGTGTTAAAATATTGCTACTAATAATAATAATCCCGAAAATTATCCTCACACAGTCCTGTCTTTTCTGGTATGCTTATCCATTCAGCCCTGTTTTATCCTGGTAAGCATTCTGCCTATCTACCCAAGTAACCATCCTGTAATGTCAATTCTGGTAGCCCTCCAATCCTATCTACTCTGGTAACCATCCAGTCCTATTTACTCAGGTAATCATTCTCCCCTTCTCGTTAATCAAGCTTACTCAACAGTTCAATTTCCAGGAGAACCTCCATGGCTTCACTGCCTCTCACAATTTCCCCAAGCACAAACATATATTAGTTAATTGCTGGCAATTTACATTTCTAGAATTTTTTTTTTGCAGAACGTATGTATTAAATGGATATTTCCACTAGAGTCTCAACACTAAAATGACTACAGTCCGGTAGTGATTGCTTTTTTCACAGTAGTCCCAGAGAGCAACTTTAACATATATGTGACTCGCGGAGAACCAAAATACTTAATTAGTATTTCCAGTACAGATTGTTTCATTAAATCCATTGCATACATTACCGAGGACGTCCAATGTGTGTGTGACCATTTATTATGCTGTTTTTCGTGTAATTTTTAATTTTTAATTTTATCCATTTGTCTGTACCTACTGTAGCATGTACTGTTTGTTCCTGAATATTTTGTTATTTGTTATTGTTTACGCCTTCAAAGTATAGAAAGTTGTTATTATTCCCTCAAACTTTGCTCATACTTTTGCCTCAAATAGCTTAGGAAAGACGTCTTAAAGGCACCTGAAGGCGGGCGACTTGTGAGACAATGTATCACAGTTCTTAGATAAGCCGTCGGAAGCCTTCGGGTACCTTCAAGACGTCTTTCCTAAGCTGTCTTAGGCGAAAGGCAAAGCAAAGTTTGAAGGGAAAAATAACCATTTTCTATACTTAGTAGGCATAAGCAATCAGAAATTAACACACTACCTAGGAAGAAAATTACATAATGTTTCACCGAGTTTATTGACCAGACCACACACTAGAAGGTGAAGGGACGACGACGTGTCGGTCCTTCCTGGACCATTCTCAAGTCGATTGTGATGAGGAAGTAGATGCAGGCATAATTAGATAACTGTTTCACTGAGTTATCTAATTATGTTGAAGCCGATGTTTAACTCTTAAAGTTTCCAGTTGACTTGTTCTAGGCTTCGCTAACTCTGCGAAGCAGTCAAATGCAAAATGTTTTAAAAATTTTTCAATATCCACTTTGGGACTGATAAAAGGTTTCTCTGATGATTTTTGATTAGTCGTTACTGACTGGAAATATGTAACTTTTTAATTGGCTAGTTAGTGCAATCGTCACTAATTAGGATTCCACATCGAGAGTGCAGAGAACAACATTGTGGTGGGCAGCGTCAGAAACACATGTAACCAGAAGCCAGGGAAGATCACAAAAAAATCAAATCGGGACGTTTTTCTTGAGTGCAGTTATATCTGCGTTCTTCTCGTGTTCACTGAGTGGGTTTGCCGTTGTGATCTATTTTGTAGATCGTAACGTGATCTGTGCTCGTATACTTGACTTTAAAACTCAATTCGTTCTCACTTATCATATGTATTCTCACTTTCAAGCGCCATCTTCTTCTCATTCTTCATATGAGGAAGGTTGTTGTGTATGCAGTGGGTAAGGAGGGAAATTGTATGGGTGTATATACCATATATCAGTAGTAAGAAGTATTTCATTTGGAGTGGTTACTGCAGTAATTGATTCCCTTCTTACAGGTCGGCGTTCAATCCTTGATGTGCAAGTGGCTAGATACTATTACTTATATTCAGTGTCCTATCCTAGCTCCTTGTTCTCATGTTCTCATAAGGTCCAATATGACTTAAGGCAATAGACATATTGGCTTAGTGCTTTCTTCTGATAAACGCCTTACCTTGCTATATTGTATGGAGCTTGGTTTGAGTGAGGGGATTGCTTTTCTCTTCATAGGGGTACCTATTATATAGTCTGAATATTACCATTACCAGCCATTTCCTATCTTTCCCGTACTTTCCTAGCCTGAATTTTGTTCTATTCTGTTCTGCCACTGTCATATACAACTCCATCAGGATTCCTTTCACTTCAGCACTAGACACTCAACCCACAAATCTTAAAATATAATAACTAACGTTTCGAACCACTATCAAGTTGTGTAATGGTCCAGGACAGTCCAAAACTTCAATTCTCTTATTTTCAGCGTTGTGGGTTGGGTGTCTAATTTTCAGCCACATTATTGTGATTTGTTGTCTCCACTTCAGCCCTCTTTCAGTGTCCTTCCATTTCAGTTTTTTCCAGTTTCTTCAGCCCTACCACAACTTGTCTTTTGCCATTTTTGTAGCTGACTAGTGAGTCTAATCGCTTCCTGTAATGTGGCTGCCTGCTTAGCCACTTCTACAATGCAGTCCTAGGACCTGGGTTAGTTTTTATATGTTCACAAATTAATATTTTTATGGAAAAGAACCTTCCTCTGTTGGATTTCTCATTTTTGGACGTAGAAAGACCCTTCCTTTGTTGGATTTCTCATTTTTGGACGTAGAAAGACCCTTCCTTTGTTGGATTTCTCATTTTTTGACGTAGAAAGACCCTTCCTTTGTTGGATTTCTCATTTTTTTTGACGTAGAAAGACATTTCCATGAGATTCCGTATTTCCTATTTGGCTGAACTCGGCTCATATTCCCTAAGATGTGATATTAAATACTGGCATACATCCACCACTACGCTCCATCCAACCTTCCCCTTCTCTTTTTCCCACTGATCTTGCTGTTCCATGATCTACCACGAACACGCGCTAGAGAATGGAGAGTCTCGAGGGTTTGATTAAATTTAGAGAGAGAGAAATATGCTTGTGTACTCACCTAGTTGTGCTTGCGGGGGTTGAGCCTCAACTCTTTGATCCTGCCTCAACTGTCAATCAACTGGTGTACATATTCTGGAGCCTACTGGACTGTATCAAATCTACATCATTTGAAACTGTGTATGGAAGTCTGCCTCCACCACATTACTGCCTAATGCATTCCATTTGTTAACTACTCTGACACTGACAAAATTCTTTCAAATATCTCTGCGGCTCATTTGGGTACTAAGTTTCCACTAAATGTGTGTGTGTGTGTGTGTATTTATTATTTGTATTGACTATTTATGCCTACAGAATCGAGCAATTAGCTCCTGGACCCCCGCCTTTCTAACTAAACTATTTTTCCTCTATTATATCTACCACATATAGTTATCTCTAACACACACACACACACACACACACACACACATCCCCAGGAAGCACTGCCCAGGAAGCTAGCTGTCATTGACTCCCAGGTACCTATTTACTGCTAGGTGAATAGGAGCATCAGGGTGATAAACTCTGCCCATTGTTTCTGCCTCCACTGGGAACAGAACCCGGGCCCTTAGGTTAGGACTACGACCCCCGAGCGCTGTCCTTTCAGCCGCGAGGCCCTGTGTATATATGTATTCAGCTAGTTGTGTTTGCGGGGGTTGAGCTTTGCTCTTTCGGCCCGCCTCTCAACTGTCAATCAACTGTTTACTAACTACTTTTTTTTCCCCACACCACAAACACACCCCAGGAAGCAGCCCGTGACAGCTAACTAACTCCCAGGTACCTATTTACTGCTAGGTAACAGGGGCATTCAGGGTGAAAGAAACTTTGCCCATTTGTTCCTGCCCCGTGCGGGAATCGAACCCGCGCCACAGAATTACGAGTCCTGCGCGCTATCCACCAGGCTACGAGACCCCCATGGGCCTCATATGTGTGTGTGTGTGTGTGTGTGTGTGTGTGTGTGTGTGTGTGTGTGTGAATAAGAGCACAATTGACCAATATGAGAGCATTATAGTTTCACCAAACGGAATTAGGTAGTGGATCGACCGTCAATTATCTTGTCCAACTTTTGCTTTTCCTTTCTTCCCCTACCACCTCTTTTCTTCTCTTTCTTACTCCTCATCCAATACCTCGGCATTCAAATTCTTCTCTCTTGTTGTTCTTCTTTATATTTCCGATTAAATCGTGTCATCACAGGTTTTCACGAAACAAGTTTTCAAGCAACAAGAGAGTGGAGAGAAGTGAGAGAGAGAGCCTTCCGATTTTCTGTTATGTATACATTTATGTTTTGAATAATTATTTTCCAATCTTACCAGGTGACCAAGTCGTGGAACAAGAGGTCTATTAATTGTGCTCGTATGTACTATTTTCCCTATTTACTTCTCTCTCTCTCTCCTCAGGGTTCACAACCTCTGGCCTTTTCAGAAGTCAGACTCCACCTTCCAACGTCGTCGGGAAGCGCCTCATACTTGCATCAATTTACATCAAATTGCCACCTGCAACCTTTTTATTTCAGATAAGGATCATATGTGTTTTTATTTTTCCAAGATAATTTACCTTTGAATTTCTTGCCAGAGTACAAGTAACGGGGGAAGGGGGTAAGAGAGATAATTATTATCGTGTAAAGAAGCTAGAGTTGAGGAGGAGTGAGAATGTTTCTGTCAGGGATGTTACGTAACACGAAGTGCAGGGTGGAACAGTACTGGTGTACACAGTCACAGTACTGGTGTACACACTGTAATGGTACAATCCCAATACTGGTACAGATAGACACAGTACTGGTGTAGACAAGATGAGACGAGAGGTAGGTACAGACAACCGTATTCCATGAATCATTGTGTTGTGACCAACAATACATGAGGCAGGGCCCAGTAGCTGATGCTCGATTCCCCCATACATACATAGATGAGTCCACACACACACAAACACACACCAGTTGACTGACAGGTGAGAGGCGGGACCAAAGATCCAAAGCTCAACCCTCGCAAACACAAATAGGTGAGTACACACACACACACATATTGGTAAATTCACTAAGTAAACAGAGATCAAAACTAGTAACTTCTGAAATCACTTCGGGATGGTGAGGTAAACGACCTCAGTATATTGACGTTCGACTACCTAGTCGTTCCTGTGGATGTGAATGAATCAGAGAGGCAATGAGAACGACCCAGGAAATCAACCCTGTATCAGGCAATCATGTAACCAGGTTACACAAAGGGTGGACGAGAGCAGACGATTTGAAACTGGAATAATCAGGACCGCCGATCAGAGTTGAACACAGCTGCGACGAAAGGGTCATGACGACATTTTTAAGTGTCAGGTTATTGGGAAATTCACGGGACGAGACTGATAGAAAGATAAATTCGTCACGTTGTAATTACACACACACACACACGTCATGTCGTCAAGGCTGAGATGTTAAGTCGTTAAGCTAGACATGCTAAATCGTTAAGGCTGATATGTACGTAAAGACAGAAGCATTCTGAAAACACGAGGCAAATCACATCATCCAAGCATAGTGGCAATATGGTGGGTAATGGAAACAGAACTCACCAGTGGAACACTGTTTTTTTTGCAGGGGAAATCTTGAGTACTCTGGGCTACTGTAACGTACTCTACTTACCCCTCTGGAACACCGGGTCGTCGCAGAGGAAGGCTAAGGTGCTCCGTGCTCCTTTAAGGTGTTCCTCGAGTCCTGCCCTCTCCACTTGGGATAAACATCGAGCAGTGTAGCCATCCACACATCGCATCCCACCCTTGAACGCCCTGTGGACAGAGAGAGAGTACATGGCAATAGAGAATGGAAGATTTCTCGGACCACGACTTTGTGTATTGCTAGGGATGGAGATTGGCCAAGTTCTAGTTGGGTGGAAATCTGGGCAAAGAATAAGTTGATTCGCTCCACATTCCAGTCCCTCACGTAATATTAGAAATATCCTCGATGCTAAACTCTAAACGTTTGTGAAGGGGGAGTTCCACGATGGGGTTGCATATGCTAAGACTGGTCTCACGTTCGTGGCATACACTATTTTGAAGACCGTCTTTGTTTCCCGAAGGATGTGCTGCCGTTCGCCAGTTTAGAATGGTCTGATGATGATACTTTATTTACATAAACCTTTATCTGCGTTATCCTTCCTTTCATCTCTCCCTCCCTTCCGCCTGCTCTGCATCTTTCTAATCATCACTGTCCCCTTCTCTCACCCCCTTTCTCTCCCTCTCTTCTCTCTCATTTCCCCCATCCTACCTGCAACCTTCTCGTTTACTACGTCTTTTAAGCGCCAACTTCCACTGGAAATTAAAACCTGAATGTATATAAGCTCAGCTCAACAATATCTTTGAGAACGTTATTGTTGACTTTCCCTCCGGCAGACTGTCGGAGGCCTTAAATTATCGAAGGCTCCGTGGGTGTGGTGTGGGATGGGGAAAGTGGGGGAGGGTGGATGAGAGGTCCTAGGAGATGAAAAATCCCAGAGGGAGAACTAGGAAGACCCAGGGACATGAAAGATCCCAGAGAGGAATAAGAGGTCGCAGGGAATTGATAGGACCCACTGAGGATTTGAGAGGACCCAGGGGGATTGAGAGGACCCAGGAAGGGAAGGTTCTAGTGGTGTGAGAAGGGAAAGATAGTGACGAAAGGAAGAATATGTTGAGAGAGGTACTAGAGAGATTCAGGTGTAAAGAAGAAATAGCTAGACCAAAACCCAAAGTAGCTGTTTGCTTGGTAATGTTTGCTCGTGCGTCGTGGGTGCATGTTTATGCTCCGAAATAACGTTTATCCTTTCGTTAAGCTTGTGTTCACTATATTCTGTTGTTGTACAAGGGCTCGGTTCGTTTTCCATATTTGTTACGACCATTAAATTCAGTGTATCTGTTTACCTGTCTGATTCCCTTTACCAAGTATGTTTATTGAGATAAGCAAGAAATACATCTCAAAGGGATAGAGTAGCTTAGGCTATTTCTACCCCCCTTCCCTTTACCTCTTCCTACCTCTCTCTACATCTGTTTTCATTTACCGCCGAGTGGCTGCCCTGTATTACATGTTTCTCTTCTCTCCCCTTTTATCGTCTTCATCCTTTTGAAACCAAAGCGCGAGTTATTGAAGTATTGAATTTAAAGAAAGGGCGTACGAATCGCCAAAGAATAATCTGAAACCCGGAATAAAATAAACAAAGTAGGGAGAAAATGGACATTTGGATCAGAACGGGAGAGAAACGAGGAAACACAACTAATTCGCGTGAAACTTAGGGATAAGCAAGTAACGATTAAAAATTTGATTAAAGAGAATACTAATAAAATATACATTAACAACTGTGTCATTAATCTCAAGACGTAAAGAGTTCGAGGATCTTCAACGAGAATAAAAATTGCAAGTTAATATGATTTCTCGTGATGTATCATCCAAGCGACGGCAGTTTCTGAGTGAGTGTTGCGACAAGAAACATGTTGCAATAGATCGTATTCGCATGTGCATTGCTGCAACACTGAAAGCAGTAAGGTAACAAATGACTAGCTTAGAGAGTTTTAGGTTCAGTTTGAGCTGCGTAAAAAGTTTCTAAATCTAATGCTGTGATCCAAGATGTATTAGAGAATGTAACGATGGGCATAAACTTGTCAAAAAAGTTCACAAGAAGTTTGAGTGAAAGTATTTGTTTACCATCACTGAGCCTCTGGGAGATGAGATGAGAGGGTATCAGCATCATTAAGAGGATGGGGAGCTACTAGCGTCTTTAAGGGGATTATAGGGGTGCCTGCATATTTTAGGGGATTGGGGGGATACCAGAATCTTGAGAGGGATGAGGTCTACCAGCATCCTTAAAGGCATGATTGGATACCAACATCTTTAGGGGGATGAATGAGAGCTACCCTCACCTTTAAGGGAATAGGAGAGATACCAGAATCTTTAAGGGGAGAAAAGTTCCCAGATTCTTGAAGGGATTGGGGGGGATGGGGGTACCAGCATCTGTCGAAGGCTGAGGGTGAACCATCTTTAAGGGAATGATGGAGTACCAGCATCTTCAAATGGATAATTGTTTTTTAAAGAATCTTCTTTTATGTCGAAGTACCAATCTTGGATCAAACTTTCGTCTGAATGGTAGCCTGTGGTCGGTCTAGCATTTCAGAATTTCAGTGCTCCCTGAAATGATCAATGAAGATCACTTCATCGAAGGATCATCAATTTAATGGTCGAGTATAAGGGTCTAATACCGACTTGCATTAATGTTACAGCATCCCTCTCCCGATCTTGTATCATAGACGAGAGTAGACCAGCGGCGCGTCTGTGGATTTAACAAACTCGCATCCATTCCCATTCTGCACTTTATATCCGGAGACTAATGGTCCCTGCATCACACGGCTGTATAGTGTTGCAGCTTTTTCTCCTGGTGTTGCTTACCCAACCACTTGGGCTGGACGGTAGAGCGACGGTCTCGCTTCATGCAGGTCAGCGTTCAATCCCCGACCGTTCAAGCGGTTGGGCACCATTCCGTCTCATCCCAAATCCTTATCCTGACCCCCTTCCCAGTGCTATATAGTCGTAATGGCTTGGTGCTTTCCCTCCTGATAATTCCCTTCCCCTTCCTGGTGTTGCTTCTGGCTTCTTTGTGTATTACTGCACAACTGTACACTGTTGCAGTCCTCTTCTCCGCCAACTGCTACTGCTGGCGTGTGTGTCTACTGCTGTACACTGCTAGAGCTGCTGCTGGCCTCTGAGTGTAATACTGTTGTGGAGACCGGACGAACTCTTCTTAAATACCCTAAGCGGACCATCGTGTCGGAAGGTATTCATGAAAAGTCTCCCGTGAGTGTGAAACATTGATACTGTATGCTGCAACCAGATCCTAAGCTGCCTCGTTCCTTCCTCGTATATTAGCACTACACATTAATGGACACAGCCTCGAGGCACATCTCTGAACTTCCGTATTCAGAAGTCTGCCTGTATCCGTATATCCAAGTTTCCGTGTATGTAACTCTGTTTCTCTGGTCGCCTATAATATTTATTGTTCCATTATGGATAATTCCCGTGTCGACCCCTTACAAATTGTTGGCCGTAAACCAAGGTGTAACTTGTCAGGTGGATTGGGTGGGAGTAAGTCCCAGCACTGGGGATATCCCAGATGGATAGCTGGGAGCCCTGGTATGTCTCACAAGCCAATTCCTCTTAAATGATAGTACTGATTGTAACTATTTGGTCGAAAGTATCAATAAGTAGTGATGAACCACCAAACAGAGAGGCAGGAGGCAGGCAGGCACACAGACACAAATACATAGATATATAGCCCCAAGTGTGCTTCGGAAACTACACAACTGCCTGCAAAATTAGTTTGGGATGCAAAATCTCAAAAAAAGTTCAAGTTCTTCTCTTGTTTGTTTGCGTCCCTGTTTGCTTCTCTGTCGGACAAACAGACAGACGATAAAGAAAAAATACTAAAAAATTTGATGGTGATTATGCACTTCAAACCCATTCTGCGCGCGAGAGTGGAGCTTGCAGAAACACATTAAGGGCCATGAATATCTCTCTCTCTCTCTCTCTTTCTCTCTTTGACCCATCTGTTTCTCCTCCCTTCCTTCCTTTTAGACTCACCCTATTAACTCCTATCCTCTCCCTCTCCTACTAATTCCCTCCTTCACTGTCGCCTACTTCAACTCTCGCTTATATCCATTAAACGGTCTGCCTTCAGTGGATCCGGGCAAATTGGCTTGTTATGTAGGTCAATTTCCTTTAACGAGGGTATTACGATGTGCCTGAAACACACATGGTGCTCATGTCTTAGTGCGTGTACCTTTTACTCTCATATCCACACACATACATGTGTATATCTGCATTAAATAGATTTTCGTGAAAGAAAACACGGGTATGTATTGCCGGGTATATGTATGCGTATATGCATGCATGTATATATATACATATTTCGAGAAAGACAGAGATAAACAGAGTGTTTAGGTTATGTTAGATAAATAAGGTTATGTTAAATCAGGTTAGGTTAAATCTGGTTAATATTATTTGCAGTAATATATATCATTTCATATTTCTCCATGGCATAAAATTATAATGGAAAAGTTAACAAGCGGAAATTACTTGCAGCTATCAAAGCTTCCAAAATATAAGCTCGACTAACTAGCTCTTCTTTCGCTTGCCTTCATACAGCTCATTTACCAATGCAAAATATGTAAATACATATGTTTGCACATAGCTTATGACAGTATATTCTTACTCCACATATAGGCATTCATCAGTGTCAGAAGACTATGGAGTTGAGCTCTGGTTATACATAGATCAGAATGGCAGTATTAGGACAAGTGTGAACAGGTCATTGCGTTATATATCATTTGTCCCACTGTGACTATGTATGTAGGTCATGTCATTAATACCAACTTGGTGAGGCAATTATCACGAGAAGCCGCCAAGCCATTACGACAAGATAGTACTTGGTAGGGATATGAGGACAAGGATTTGGGGGTAGGCTAAAGGGAAGGAATGGTGCCCACCTACTAGGAAGGTCGGGGATTGAACGCTGTCCTGCAAGAAGCGAGACCGACGCTGTACAGACCAGTCTAAGTGGATAGTGTCCAGCGTGGTGGAAAGCAGCAGCTTTGTATTGGTGGCTCCACAGCGGGGAATATGCTGTTTATGTCACCCATATTTTAAAAAGGTAGTTGGTTCTCTCTCCTATCGTAGTCACTGCTTGTCTTTACCAACCACGACCCACCCTAACCCACCGCCACCCACTCTTACCCACCCTTCCACCTCACGCACTTAATAAAATAAAAATAAAATGTTTATTCAGGTAAGGTACATACATACAAGAGATTTTACATAAATTGATCGATTTATAGATGGAGCTAGTACAAACAATGCCTAAAGCCACTATTACGCAAAGCGTTTCGGGCAGGAAAAACATTAATGACTTAAAACTTAATACTAATCGAGTATAAAGAATTCTTACTTGCACATAGTGTGAAGTTCCTTCATGTCGACCGGAAGGCCTTGCTTGGGCATGTGTGGGGCCAGCTTACTGAGACAAATGTCCAACTCTGTCTTGTTTGGACACTGCGTGACGCCGTGGACCGCCCCTGGGGGAAGAAATGGTGTCCTAATTAGGCGACTGAGAAGAATGGGGCTTGAGGGGTTATTGTTTCTTGTTTAGAGCTGACACGTGGAGTCGTTACCGAAACCCGAAGAGTTTCCACTACTTCTTTCATAACAGCATTCCCTAATCGTACAGCATTCCTATCCCAAGTTTACTCAGGTTTACTTTACAAATGATTAGAAAGTATTAGTAAACATAGTTGGTGCCTATTTTATTATTTAATAATCAACCCCAAGCTCAGTCTTTACATGCTCTGTGAGAAACAAGAATCGTCTTACGTCTGGCATGGAAGGTACGACAAATGCACCTCGCCTTGCGTTCCCAATACTATAAGGCAGTTTATTTAGCTCAATTTTGACCTCTGGTTTCCACTGAGGAACCCAGGGTCGTAACAGCTAGCACAGCAACTAGTACCACCACTGTCATCACTAACAACTCCCCTCCCCCCATCCATCCGCCAGCACAACACAATTACCACCATCAAAACAATGTAAATGCCATTAACAGCGCCCTCTCTACGAGGTGTGATGTCATCAGCAATAACGTTATTTCCACTAACCACCTACAATAAATACCTATAAAAATATAATGTCTATTTCACACATAGACACAATATTTATTTCACACATAAATCACAATAACATGATACATCAAATGACTATGGCGCATCTGGGAACATCCCGTGCTTAGGTTCGAACCCTCATCACGTCCCTAGTGGATTTAATGTGTATTTATTTGTCCGTTTGTTCGAGGCCAAACAGTTGCGGTTAGTCTCACACAACCTTCCATAGTGAATTGTGTTTGTATGGCATGTACCGAAGGGTGATTCCGGGGTCAATCCCTAAGCAGTAGGGACCTTACTGCTAAGCAACCCTAAGTAGGATTGGCTCCTATTGCGACAACAATCGACTCCTGTGAAGAGTGATTTGTAGGTTTGATTCTCCATCGAGCATTTACCAACAGATTTCTCGGCTGAAAGTGAGAAACGTTGATTTAACGTTACTCAAGTATGGTTGGACCACTGGGAGATTGAGAGAGAACGAGAGAAAGGGATTGAGACTGGGAGGGGAAAGAGAGGGAGGAAGAAAGACAGGGAAGGAAGTAGAATGAGAGCAAGTGAGTGAATTGGAGAGATGGCTCGAGAATGGGAGGGAGGAAGAATGGAATGGAGACTGGGAAGGAGGGAGGCATAAAGGGATAGATGTAGGGGGGAATGGGAGGGAGGGAGAGAGAGAGACAGAGACCCGGGCACTGCCGGTTACCCGCTTTATTTCTTCTATTAGTAGCTATAATATATTACCATCAGTTGCCGATAGTAATTACTACCACTTACACTACCACCACTATCACCTCCACCACCTGCACCACCACAATCACCTCCACCACCTGCACCATGGCGTCCATCAGTTAAAGAATCGAATCAAGTTTCTCTGAGCAAGATAGCGACAGCTAGGTGTCAAAAATTAGGAACAAAACACTTTCTGAAAGGTCAAGATTATCTGGGGATCTTTAATTGTGAAAAATATCTTCTTCACTTTCTTCTCAGTCGTCAATGCTTGACGTTTCATTTCTGGGAAAAAAGAGAGACCCTGGTTTGATCCCAGAGAGAAGAGTGTTTGAAGTTAGATAATGTCTTAGAAGAATTATAGCACTGACTAATAATTTATATAATCCTTATGGCGTTTTATGCACTTAGGAAGTCATATATATAACTTATATACATGATGCAGTTCACAACATAGGTAATAATATTTCGGTCACGATATAGGGAATTATATTTACCATGATATAGATGAATCATTGGTCCAGATAAACTTGTGGTGTTCTAAAGAAAGCGGAAAGTCACAGTTGTATATAAATAAGTAGATACTTCTGAGACCTTTTTCCTTATTGTGAGTATTCTGATCTTGCCGCTAGAGTGACAGGCTTCGTTTCTTCCAGGGCCGAGTTCGAATCCTGGATGATCTAAGTGTCAGAAGTGGCATTACCGATCATCTTGTGGATTGTAGCTTATATAAATATATGCATATTTGGGCATGTGTGTGTGTGTGTGTGTATATATGTATGTATGTGCGCGCGAGCATTGTTGGGATCTAATTTCTGAGGAGTAACACCAACACAGGCGTACCAGTAGTGATACCATTTATTACCAACGAGGTCATTTCAAATGTTTACTATCAGGAGTCATTCTCCTCCAGCCTGGGCCATCGTCAGGTGCCACACACATAAGGCTCGGCCCTCACCTTCACCAAGATCTAGAAATCTTTGGGAAAAAAATTAACCAAGGCCATTTTTGCATTTAACTTATTTGTATTTTTTGTATTCTGTATTCTCCGAAGACAAATATATATTACAACTGTATGTACAACATATATGTTAATTCACTGTACATGTCAATCCATAGCCGTTACCAGGGAGTAGATTTTCTATGATGAGTCAATAAAGACTATCACTTCATATTTTCGCACCATTTTGCAGTCTACAAATTTCACGTAACTTCCTCAGTCCCGTTCACCAATGCCGTTCCAACACACTGTACGATCGTCGTCGCCCCTAACTCAACAACAACAACAACAACACACTGTACACATCGTCCGCAGAAGATTCTCTCAGACGCCTAGTACGTCTAACCAGCACACTGTATTCCGGGGTGGAGCACTGCTTAGGTCGAGTATGTTTCTGTACTGCCAGCCTAGAATTAACGTTATCGTTGATGGAGTGAGCGGAGTACTGCTTATGTCCAAATTTATCGGAGCACTTGTTGTCTCATTCGGCGACTCTGATTGGCTACCAGAATTCCCGCCACCAGACGAGCAGTGCTGGTCCAAATAGCCCACCCGATTGTTGTCCTGGCTCATCCAGCAGTAGTTTAATACATTGTTATTTTAAATCACAATTTTAATCTTAACTTGGTGCGACGAATTAACACATGCTGATACCTTTCCGCTTGTGTGTGCGGTGTTAATTTCTACACTTTTGTTCGGAATTCGATCAAATTTGGCCTGATGATAGAGGGCCCTTGGGAAAAGGCTACACAGAATTTCATAGCTGGCGAGGACGACTCTGTGGAGGGTCTGTAAACCACTTAAAGTTCATCAACCACGGGAGTGGTATTAAGACCACCGGAGTCTGATAGGATCCCAGGGCCTTCAAGGAACCACCAAAACCCATGGAATGCGAGAGAGAAATATTGCAAATGATCATCACCTGGAACGATCACATGAAGTTAGCATGCAGAGAGCAACCTTGCCTGGGTGAAACTCACGTGTAGTAAGTATCGTACTTACAATGAAGATTATATATGCAGTGTAGTAGTAGGAATCCTTATATTGCTGTGTACTGTGTAGTTTAGAAAGAAAGAAATTAAAAAAAAAGAGAATCCAACGCTGAGAAAAAAAAAAAATTAATTTGAGCAAGAATTATAAAAGAAAAAAAGTATTTTTGATACGGAGTTTTCTGTTGACCCATTTTTGGACATCGGAAACATTTCTATATTTTAGTAAACAATGTTTTGGTGATAGATGTAAACTGACTTAAGTCGCTGCTCAGAGAACATCTCTTCCTCTACATTCTAGATAATTGAACAATGTTCTATGTTACGTATGAATGATCAGTGTTCTTATGTTCAACACAACAACAGTAGTAACACCAACAATAACATCAACAACAACATATACACACACACACACACAGAGTGGACATAGACGAAATGTTCACACGGAATAGTAACAGAACGAGGGGACATGGGTGGAAGCTGGAAACTCAGATGAGTCACAGGGCTGTTAGGAAGTTTCCTTTTAGCGTGAGAGTAGTGGGAAAATGGAATGCACTTAAGGAGCAGGTTGTGGAAGCAAATACTATTCATAATTTTAAAACTAGGTATGATAAGGAAATAGGACCGTAGTCATTGCTGTAAACAACCGATGCTCGAAAGGTGGGATCCAAGAGTCAATGCTCGATCCAGCAGACACAAATAGGTGAGTACACACACGTATATACGAGTCATACATAAGGAAACAACGTCAAGTCTTACTGCTCAATATTTAAAAGAAAAATGTACACACATTTATCCTGGTTTCAGTAATTCCTAACAAGGTGATTAAATATATGTGATCATTGCTGTTTTTGTATCGTTATCATTACTGTACTTTCCCTCACCAAGTATAATTCTACAGAGGTATTGGTCGTGAGACTTACCAAAACAGTTGACATACTTGTGGGTGTTTATAAATGCCATAGGCGAGAAAATCCGTCTCTCTGTGCTAATGGAATTTGTAACGAAGAAGCACCGGGAACACACACCCCCCCTCTCTCTCTCTCACTGGGTATTGATTTCTTAGGGAGGGAGTGGTAGTGGAGGTAATTGAGCGAGGCGGGGCTGGTGTTACAATGACACAAGCTCACCACATGTCTGTTTGGTACACAGACTAATCACGTGTCCGTGTTTGGTACACAGACAGACAGACAGACCCCGTGTCCGTGCTTGGGACGCGAATGTTAATACGGTTGATGTGATTGTTAAATCATTTGTAGTAATAGTAAATCATCAACCAATCAATATTTATACAGCATAAAATGTAGAGTCATTGTAAACAACAAAATATTATTAACATTTAAAAATATAAAAAAAGAATGCACAATATGCCTGTGTATTTTATGTCACTAAGTCCTCTGATCCCAGGATATTCTACCTCTAATAATCCCCAAATCAAATAAATAAATTATATATATATATATATATATATATATATATATATATATATATATATATATATATATATATATATATATATATATATATATATATATATATATATATATATATATATGTGGCTTATATCGAGGTCCTCCCTTCCACAGGGTCTAACTTCTGGGTACCTATTTACTGCTCGTTGGACAGGAGCATGAGGTGATGGGAAACGCGTCAATCTATTTCCGTGCCGCCCGGGATTCGAACCCAGAGTTTAAGATTGTGAGTCAAGA